ACTGAACCCGGGGTCGACTGCATGGGAGTCTAGCGACATAGCCATTACGCTAACTGCTGGTTCCCCAGAAGGTATCCTTTTTGACAGGGCTCCATTTTTGATGACTATGATGAGAACAGGACAGTGAGGGGTTAAGATGAAGCTCCCTTCGTTTGCTGCGATGACCTGATGGCACTGTTGGGACACGTTTCATTTTTAGCCTTCTGCCATGGTGCACTTGCCAGAGACAGCAGAGAGGGACAGTGAGACGTCGCCCTGCAGGGGGACTGCCCACGCTGCAACCCCTTCTCCTTCATGTTCCTTTGGGATTTTGGGCACGCGTGTACACATACCGGCCTCAGACCGTGGTCAGTCGGTGAGTCTAGCACCTGAAGCACACGCCACTTGCTGGCCTGCACTCACATCCCTGCTCTGTCGCTGCGCCCTCAGCTCCCTCCGTATGAGGCCGCCAGAAGGCCAGCCTGGAGCGCTGAGGCTTGCTCGTGACCACATCGTCTCAAGGCCACGTCATCTCGCCCAGGCCATCTTTAGGTTTGAGGGACAGGGCGGGTGCTCGCCAGGACAGAGGGAGCTAGGGCAGAAGTTGGAATGGTGCAGACGGGAGAGCGGTCTGCGGTGCTGACCCACACGGCGAGTTGGAGAGCCTGCAGAGTAATGGTTAGAGACTTGCAGGGCACTTTTTCCTTAGGTTTATTTCCTTGATGGTAGTGACAGAGAGAGAGGCAAGCACTCTCATCGAGGTCCCATGCCTTAACTCCTGCCTCCACCACCAAGCCTGCCCAGCCGCCCTGGGTCACGAGTGTGTGCAGGTCGGCCAGGGGACCAACCAGGGGTCTTCACCAGGGATCCAGCCTCCCTCGAGCAGAGCACTCCCACCGTGCCACCAGGCCGGCCTTATCTACTGTATTTGCAAAGGTACGGGCCACAGCTGCCCTGTACTGTGGATGGTTTAAGGAGCGCTTGTCCACACCAGAGTCTCACAAAGCAAGTTCCTTCAAGGATTGTTAGTAGCTCAGTCTGCTCCTGCTCCCTTTATTTAAAATAATAGATTTTCTCTTAGACTTCCTTTTTAAAATATGGACAACAATCTAAGTAGTGTCAGTACTCTTGCTTCTGCAGGATTCCTGGTTCTTTATATAGCCTGGATCGCAGTTGCTTTCTCTGTGTTGTGATGCTGAAGTCTTGATTCTGATCATGTTGTCATCTTAGAACTTCTGTGGACGGTAACATGGTGTCTCTTTTCTGGTTCCTTGAGGGCAATTTGTGGTTTTACTTGAACTAAAAGATTCGTCTGGTGTCTGTGGTCTTGGGAGCTCAGGAAAACCTGGCACATTAGGCCAGTGTTCATGAGTGTCAGGAAAAACTGTTGTGACTTGGAAACTTCCGGAAAGAGTCCTAGTGTTTCCAGAATTCTCAGAGGAGGAGGATATTTTTCCTGAAGCAGTAACCAGAGAGTCTAGATATGAAATCCTGGAGGGTACAGCAGATGCTGGAATGGTTACATTGCTGGACGTAACCCACAGGGCTGACCGCGGTTCGAGTTCTGGACCTGGTGGCTTAAAGCTCATGCCAGAGGAACCAGCAGTTAGCGTAATGGCTATGTCGCTGGACTCCCACGTAGTCGACCGTGGTTCACGTCCCAGACCCGGTGGCTTAAAACTCACGCTGGGCGCATGTGCGTGCGTGCCCAAGATCTCGAGAGGAGAATGGAGGAGAAGGGATTGTGGTGTGACCATCCCCCCTGGGGGGTGATTTCTCGCTTTCTGTCTCTATGTCTCTCTCTGTCTGTCCGGCAAGCGCACGCGCCCTATAGCGAAAACCTCTCCATAAAAAAAAAGCTCATGCTGGGTGCATATGTTTGTGTATACGAGATCCCAAGAGGAGAATGGAGGAGAAGGGATTGTGGCATGTCCATCCCCCAGGAGGTGATTTCTCACTTTCTCTCTCTCCAGCGAGTGCAAACACCCTAGAGCAAAAATCTCTTAAAAAAAAAAAAAAAGGAGAAGAAGAAGAAAAAGAAGGAAGAAATCATGAAGGATAAAATGTTTAGGAGAGAATGCTTTTGGACATTAGGAAAACCAGCAGATATTTATTTCGGAAACTCGAGAACTTGTAAGAGCTGGTCAAGGCTCTTCAGGAAGAGAAGCAGGGTTTTGTCATCTAGAGGATTTTAGGACCTAGAGAAGCTACTGAACCTGGCTTGTGTTATTCAAATCACTTTGAAGTCTGGCTTCCCAGCAGAGGTAAAGCAGGGAACTCACCACTTGGTGAGTTAGGGGTTCAAGTTCTGGGACCTGCCTCTGGAGTCGAAAACCTCCTAGAACGAGGGTCCAGTGATGCGAACAGCCAGGGCTCCAGCTGCAGGTGCACTTAGAGAGCAGTATTCAGAGCAAGCTGAGAAAATGTTCAGCATTCAGAGGTTCCATGGAGTCATTGTTTAAGAGAGAGAACTCAACTTTGCAGATTTCTAAATACTCAGTGGTGTGATTGAGGCCCGTCTCTTCTGGGTCAGGTGGAAGCCAGGCTGAAACTGGGCTGTCTCGTTAAAAGCAGGATCATATCTTGGGATATGGATACATGGTCATTCTTTCCCTTTTTTATATTAAAGCAAATAGAATTCTATATTAAAACTTTAAAGAATGTATCATTTTATAAATGGTAAGGATGGAAAGATAATAGCTAACACCTCATACAGTATTTACTGTATGCCAGGCGCTTTCCTCTGAAGCAGGGAGGGCCTAAGGAACGTGCCTAGCTTAGGCCACCTGCCAATGGTATGGTGGTCAAGGAGGCTGATCCCACGTGGCTGACTGCACTGTTGAGCAGCTTGGAAAATAGGCCGGGTATGTGTGTTTTCATGCCCCAAATCCCAAGATGGAGGAAAAGAGATTGTGATATGGCCATCTCCCCCCTCGCCCCCAAGGGAGTGATTTCTCTCTCTCTCTCTCTCTCTCTCTCTCTCTCTGGTGAGCTCATGTGCCCTATAGCAAACTATTGAAGAGAGAGAGGAGAAGAAAAAAAGAAACTTATACAGCTCACAGAGTAGTTACAGAGACAAAGTTTGAGCCCAGGCAATATGGCACTTGGTTTAAAGTGCCATAAAGGCATGCAATTTAGTTCCGTTTCTTTTGGTTTTAATTGCTGTGTTGCCTGGTCTCTCTTATTAATAGATTCAAGCAGATAAAGCATTTCCCTCTGTTTATTCTTACCTGTTCAATTTTTTTTTTTTTTAGAGAGACTTTTTGCTATAGGGCAAATGCACTCACTGAAGAGACAGAGAGAAATAGAGACAGGGAAACAGAAAGTGAGAAATCAGTCTCCAGGGAGGATTCCCATTGCCACAGTCCCTTCTCCTCTAGTCTCCTCTTGGGACTTGGGGCATGCACTGACACACACACCCGATGTGCATTTTAAGCCACCAGATCCAAGACTCAAACTGCAGTTTGACTACCTGGGAGTCCAGTGACATAACCATTGCTCCATCTGCTGGTCCCTTGTTCAGTGTTACACTAAATTACTTAAGAGTCTTTTTGCTGTATCCCTATTGTTTTCTCAGGTTGTCGTTTTTTTATCTTGAACAAAAACTTGGAGAATGAAGAGAGAAAGTGACAGGGGTCATCAGGTGGCATTAGCAGGTGGCATGGTGATAAAGGTGCTGGATTCCCACATGGTCGACCACAGTTCAAGTCCTGGGCCTGGCAGCTGACAGGTTACTCTAGGCACCCCTGGGGGATGATTTCTCACTTTCCCTCCCTCTGCATCTCTCCGTCTCTCTCGGCAAGCACATGCACCCTATGGCAAAAATCTGGAAAGAAAACTTTAAATAAAAACAAAAGAAAGAGAGGGAAGGTGACGGTGTGTGCTTTGATAGTCTCTCCCAAGTCACACCAGTTGGAGAGAGTGGTCCATTGTGTTGGTACGTGGGGGCCAGGCTGGTACCCACTAGAGTTGGGATAAACAGCGAAACCCGCTCGCTTACGGTCTGGCACTGCAGCACACTCGGCCTCCTCACTCACTGGCTGACGAAGGCCCCCGTGTGAGGCCACTGATGCCAGCCATTCTTTCCCACGGCCACAGTTACGGTCTTGAACGCCGACTAATAATATCCTATGAGAAAGATTGATTTGGGAACTGAGTGCTAGTTTTTTAAAGTAATTATTTATTTAGTTGTATTTGTTATTATTATTTATTTTGACCAGAGAGAGAAAGGGAAAGCAAGAAAGCAAGCCACAGTCGGCCATGTGGGAGTCCAGCACCTCAACCACTGTGCCACTTGCCACCCCGAGTGCTAATACTTTAAGTGAAAACTGAGACTGTCTCACCAGTGAGAAATTTTGATTTTGATTAGATTGAGCACACACTGAACTTAAATTAGGTATCAGTTTGTTTTTCTCTATTTTAATTAGATTATTCCCAAGCTACATCAGTTTTCTGTTTTCGTTTTTTTTTAAAGAATTATTTATTTTTATTTTATTTATTATCATTATTATTATTTAATTTGGCTGGAGAGAGAGAGAAAGGGAAAGTGAGAAAGCAAGCCACCAGGCCCGAGACTTGAGTCACATCCAGTCATGTGGGAATCTAGCACCCTTAACCGCCATGCCACCTGCTGGTCCCTGTTTTGTTTTATTTTGAAGTTTGCTCATTTGTTTTTTTCAAAATTGTTTCTTTAATTTTTTTTTACTTATTATTTTTTAAATTTGCTACAGGGCACACACTTTTACTAGAGAGAGAGGGGGCGAGTAAGCGAGGAAGCAGGTCCAGGACGTGAACCGCAGTCGGCTGTGTGGGAGTCGAGCACATTAACCTCCACTCCACCCTGCTGGCTCTTACGTAAGAGGCAGTCACGCCCAGGTTGCCCCTCACCACCCAGCCCAGTCTCAGGCAGCCCGGGTCACGGCACGTGCACCTGCCCACTGTGATCGGCCCTCCCAGGACGCGAGGGCACACCCTGCTCCAGGGCCTCCGCGCCATCCTCTGGCCTGTGGGATAATAGACCTTTTTCTAAGTCGGGTCTTCTGTGAGCAAAAGAGACTGCGGAGAGCTGGAGAGAGCGCACTTACCGCAGGGTCTGCTGCTGTGACCGCTCCCTGGCCCCAGCCAGCCCTGGTCGTGGGCAGGTCATGCCTGGCTCACCGGGGAGGTCTCCAGGTGTGAACCCCGGTCCTCCTGTGGGTCAGCATCACAGAGCATCACGTCTCCACTGCGCCGCTGTCCAACCTGATGCAGCTACTTCTTTTTCTTTAAGATTTTTGTTAGAGGGTGCATGCACTCGCTGAAGAGACAGAGAGACAGAAAGCGAGAAATCACTCCACAGGGGGGTTTACCATGCTGCAGTACCTTCTCCATTCTCCTCTCGGGATTTTGGGCACACGTACACATGCACCGGCATGAGTTTCAAGCCACCAGGTCTGGGACTTGAACTGCAGTCGACCACGTGGGGGTCCAGCGCCTTAACTACTAGGCCACCAGCTGGCTTCCGCATCTACTTTTTAATCATCTTTGTTCTGCTTAATAGTGCAGTTGGTGGGCAAAATCGTAGTTTTTATTTGGCCGTGTCACGACATCTGAATGTACATTTTGCATAGGAAAAAGCAAGACTGTCGATTTAGCAAGTCTTGCAGCTGCCGTGCGGTGGGTGTTCGTAAGTGACAGTGCTCTTCTTCACCAGATTGCAGCTGGAGAGAGGATTCCTTTGAGCCAGGAAGAAATAACCCTGAAGGGCCATGCCTTCGAAGCCAGAGTATATGCAGAAGACCCTAAAAGTAACTTCATGCCTGGGGCCGGGCCGTTGCTGCATCTCTCGACCCCTCCAGCAGACCTTTCTACCAGGATCGAAACTGGAGTACGGCAAGGTACAGCGGAATAAGACCAGTCGCACTCTACATGTTGAGAGTATTACTGTTTTTGGACAGAGTATTCCTCAGTCTTAAGGAAATGTCTGGCATGTTTTAAAATGAGTTAATTGACTTCCATTAACCTTTACACTTTCCTTCTGGAATAGGATATCTTTTAATTATTTATTTAATTTTATTTATTATTATTATTATTTTAATTTGCTATAGGGCACATGCACTCTCCAGAGAGAGAGAGGGGGGAAAAGTAAGAAAGCAAGTCTCCAGGTCCAGGACTCCATCTGCAGTCAGCCATGTGGGAGTCCAGCACATTAACCACCGTGCCACCTGCTGGCCTCTGGAATAGTTATTTTTAAAGAATAACCTTTTTTTTTTAATTTTAAAATAATAGACTCTTGTTTTGAAACGCAGCGGTACATGGTCAGACCTAAGCAAGAAACAACTTTTGTGTATTGTTACGTTGTTTTGCTTTGCGTAGTTCCAGGGCGACTTGAGGTAACTGGTACCCCTTCTGCTCCACGTACTCTGCCTTTAGGAAACATGAAGCCCAGGTGGAAAATTACAGTATAAACCTAAGGACTGGCCCTCGCCTAGTGGCCAAGGAAGCCAGATCCCACGTGGCTGGCCGCAGTTCAAGTTTTGGCCCAGGCAGTTTGAAGACCACACTGGGTGCTTGTCCAGAATCTCCATGGGATGGAGGACAGGAGGAGAAGGGATTATGGCACGGCTGTGCCCCACTGACGGGTGCTCCCCCCCTCTCTGACAAACGCACACACCCTCTGGCGATTGAGAGAAGAGTATAAACGCCTATCTGTATCCGCCCCGCTAGTCGGGCTTCCCGTCATGCTCTGAGTGGTTTTCCTGCACAGGCTCCTGTAACGAGGGAAACCGCCCTGTGACTAGGCTTCATGTCAGCCTCGTTTTCTAGAGGACAGTGGAGCGGAGTTGAGTGACTTGTCCAGAGTCACCTGAGAGCCAGGACTCAGACCCTGGCAGTCTGGCTCGCCGGCTGTGCTCAGAGCCTCTTCTCCTTGCCATTTGTTGCCAAAGGAAGTTGTAAGCGATGGGACATAGCAGCTCCTGGGAGTAGGAGCTTACGGTCCCCTGATACAGTCAGGACAGGGTTTCTGTGTTCTCAAACCATGGAGTCGGCTCTGTGGGATCCCGTTGCCTTAACCCCGCACCACCTGCTGGCTGCCGGCTGCTGGCTGCTGGCTGCAGGTGGCATGGAAGTTACTCCGTGTCTGCTTTCCCCGTTAGGTCATCTCTCCAAAGGGAGGGCTGTGTTCTCCATGTCTCCAGCCCCTCTCCCAAGCCCATGCCTCAGTAGGTGTTGAACATGTGTTGATGAGCAGGGGAATGGGTGGAAGGATGGAGAAACGAGTAAGGGCTTGTGTTCCTGCTTCTCAGTGTACAGATGAGATGTGTGATGTTCAGAGAGGTCAAGTGACCTGCCAAAATCGCGGCAGCCCTAGAACAGTCCTGACAGCACACCACACCCTTTTGGCTGGGCCCATTTCTAACCAGTGGGATGTGCTACGGTTCAGATACCCAATGTGTTTTTCAAGCGGCCAGGGCCAGAATTCTAACCATGTGGATGGCCACGTGGGATCTGGGCCCATTTACCAACAGGCCATGGGGCGGCCACATTTTTCATCCATTCTACGCCCCAGTTTTCTCGTGGGTCAGTTGGTGGTAAGGGCGTCTGTCCTGCAGGGCTTTGTGAAGGTTAAGTGTGGAATGTACGCAGACAGAACGTCTCACCTGTCATGCTTTATCCCCTCAAGCGTTGACTTTGAGAAGTTGCTGTGGTTGTCGATTTCAGGAGATGAAGTGTCAGCCTATTACGACCCCATGATTGCCAAGTTGGTGGTGTGGGCTCCAGATCGCCCGGCGGCCTTGACGAGGCTGAGGGACAACCTTCGCCAGTACAACGTGAGTGACCTGGGGCTATTAGTGGCTGCGATGCTTCAGACCAGCATCGGAGGCCAGCCTTCGCCCTTAGAGCCTTCCATCTCAACGTCCTTGTTAATCTCCACCAGTTGCCCGTACATCACAAACAAAAACGTCCACATTGTGCAGTTCTCGGGCATTGCCCTGGGGTCGCTCGCTTGGGTCACGGGAGGGCTTGAGGATTCTTGACTGCAATTAGAAAGTGCAGATTGCAGAAATAAAACTAAGTGTTGTATTCCAGTAAAATCCTACTCATTCTGTAGAAAAGGCTAGTCGTCTGGTCACTGTCCTCCAGAGGAAGATAATTACGTTCAGTTTCATCTGCTCGACAGAGTTTGTTACTTTTCTGTACCACATGATTTTCCTCGGTGCAGAAGGTCCCATGGCACATTGCTTTAGCTTCGTATTAGGATTTATTAACAAGCAATATTCAGATTATTTTTTCAAGAATTATATTAACTTAATTCATTTTAATTTGACCAGAGAAGGACAGAGCAAGAGGGAGAGAGGGAAATTAAGAAAGCAAGCCTCCAGGTCTGGAACTCGAACCCCGACTGTCGGTCATGTGGGAGTCCAGTGCCCCTAACCACCACGCCACCTGCTGGTCCCAATATTCAAATTATTTCATGCTGTTAATTTGATCAAGTCTCTAAATCCCTGTGGCTTCAACCACACTGACCTCCTTGCCATTCCTCACACTCCCAGCATGGAGTCATTTGTTCCTGTCTTTGCTTCCAGAATGTTCTTCCTACACATGATTGCAGGGCTCTTTCCTTACTGTCCTTAGCCCTACTTAACTCCTCTGGGTCTTTTCCTGGGCTGCTGCATTTAAAATGGGAGCGAGTAGATAGCATGGTGGTTAAGGCACTAGACTCCCACATAGCTAAGCGTGGTTCAAGTCCCAGACCTGACAGCTTGCTTTCTCGCTTTCCTGTTTTCTCTCTCAGGCCAAATTAAATAAAAATTAATAAATAATAATAATAATAATTAATGAAGTTAAATGAATAATTCCTTAAATAAGTAAAAAATAATAAAGTGGGATCTTCACTATTATCTGTCCTCTTGGCCAGCTTTGGTTTTTCCTTCATAGTACATGCCGATCTATCAAATTAGAGATATTGCTTATCATCTGACTCCCTAGAAGGTGAGCTCCGTAAGGATGGGGGCTTCGATTTTGTTTGTCACCATGTCCCCCGTGTGGCACCTAGAAGGCAGATGACCATTAGAGGAATAAAAGGATGGATGAATGAGTGAAAGAATGAACAGGGAACAGACATAAGGCCCGACAGGTGTTTTACTTTTGATCCTGTTTATTGGATGGACTTGGGTTAATTTAATGCCTTTTTAAGTTTTTATTTCAGTGTGTAAAGTTTGGGTTTTAGGGCAAGCTCCAAAACGTGCCCGTTATGTGTCATTCAAGGGAAGCCAGATCCCACGTGGCAACTGTGGTTCAAATCCCTGGCCCAATTAGTCTGAAATACACAGGACACAGGTGCAGGTGCCCAGGATCTGATAGGCCGGAGGGCTGGGGCGGGGCATTGCAGTGCGACGAGACCCTGGGAGGGCGCTCCTCTTGTTTCCTCTCCTCTGGCACACGCATGTGCCCTCTGGCATTTAAAATAAACAAATAAAAAGTATTTAAGAAAAAGATTAGTATTGGAAGGAAGCGCCTTTGCGGTCATTTAACCCTCCGTGTAACCCGGTATTTACAGGCTTCCCGTCTTGTGGCATGTTCTGGGCAGCAAGTGTTCAGTACCTTGCAGAGGAATTTCATTTGTATTTCTTAACATCTACCACTGTCCTGACCCGAATCAGTTCAATGTCTCCACATGCCACGCCGTGTCCTATGCCCTCTCCGTCATATTAAAGCAGTCTGGCCGGTACGTGGTACGGTGCTTACGTTCTGTGCACTGGGAGCCAGGTCCCGCGTGGCCAGCCAGTGCAAGTCCTGACCTTCCTGGCTGGAAAGACACCGGACACATCCGCCTGTTTGCTTACATTCCTAGCAGAGGGGGACATGGAGGGAAAAGAGATTATGTGACCATCCCTGTTGGAGGTGTGCTCTTCTCCTCCCTTCCTGGCAAGTACACAAACTCTCTGGCAATAAAAAGAAACTTTTTTTAAAGAAAGAAAGAAAAATTATTTATTTATTTATTTATTGGAGAGGTTTTTGCTATAGGGCGCGTGTGCTCGCCAAAGAGACAGAGAGACAGAAAGCGAGAGATCACCCCCAGGGGGGATGGTCACACTGCAATCCTTTCTCCTCCATTCTCCTCTTGGGATCTTGGGCACACACGCACACGCGCCCGGTGTGAGTTTGAGCCCCCGGATCTGGGACTCGAACTGTAGTCGACTACATGGGAGTCCAGCGACATAGCCATTACGCCAACTGCTGGTCCCGAAAGTTATTTATTGAAAAAAAATGAGGGCTAGCCTGTGGCCTGGTGCCGTATCCCGCACGACTGACCTCACCGTCTAAGTTGTGCACCCAGCAGACTGAAGAACACCAGGCGTTTATGCCTGCGTGCACAAAATCCCAAGAAGAGGGAGAGATGGAGGAGAAGGGATGTGGCATGACCAAGCCCCATAGGTGGTGCTTTCTCCCTCTCTTTCTTTGTCTCTCGGGTGAACCCGTACTCCCTCTGGCAAAGAAGAGACTTAATAAAAGGAGACTTTCTCCCAAGTAGGTTTCTTTCCCAGTCAGTTGAACTGGAGATTTACTCTCATTCTAGATTGTCGGACTGCACACCAACATCGACTTCCTGCTCAGCCTGTCCAGACACCCAGAGTTTGAGGCAGGGAATGTGCACACCAACTTCATCGCTCAGCACCGCAAAGAACTGCTGCCTGTTCGGAAGGCTGTAGCCCACGAGCACCTATGCCAGGCAGCCCTGGGTCTCATCCTCAGGGAGAAGGCTATGACCGACGCTTTCAGCCTTCAGTCAGAAGGTACAGAACGCTTCCTCCTGCCTGCTCGATTGCTTCGTCTATTTATTTGCGCTTTCATTCATTCATTTATAGTTTTTTTAGATTTTTTTCCTCTAGGGTAACCCCACTTGCCACAGAGAGAGGGAAAGTAAGAAATCACCCCCCAGGCCACGATGCCATCCCTCTCCCCATACTCCTTTGGAGATTTTGGTCATGAACACACTTACACCCAGGGTATTTTTCAAGCTACCAGCTTCAGGACTCGAACCGTGCAGTCCGTCATGTGGGATCCAGCTGCCCTAACCTCCACGCCATCTGCTAGCCCAATTTATTTATTTTTAAAGCTTATTTGTTTCTTCCATGAATAAGAGAAGCAGACCAAGAGGCATAGAAAGTCAGCACCCCAAAGGGCCTGGATGGCCTGACCCACCCTGAGCCTCAGCTCACTCCAGGTAATGGGCACAAGCGTGCTTTGTGTGCTCAGGGCCAGGTCTCCGTGCAAACCTGGAACTTCACCCGTGCGGGTCCCCCTTGCAGAGCATGTTTTACCACTGTAACACCAGTTAGTCCAACCCGAAATTTGGCACAGCGGTATGCTCCTGTAGTCCCAGCAACTCGGAGGCTGAGGCAGGACGTTCACAATACTGAGTCTCTGAGAGAAAGAAAGCAAGGAAGGAAGGAAGAAGGGAGGGAGGAAGGGAGAGAGGGAGGGGGCTCTGTTTCAGTTTGCCGGGTCATCGTTGAGCATGTTCTTGGCTCCCTTTTCTTCTCAGTGACTGATACAGCGCTCTGCAAATACGTGTTCTCGTTTGAAGGAGAGCTCTTCACCTGCTGTAGGTGCACACATAAGTGCTGCTCATACTCAGTCCATTCAGCGCTGCCTTAATGTACCCCCAGCAGGTGGTAATGGAGCTCTTTTTAGCCAAACACTAGTTCTTCCTGTGGGGTAATTCCTTGCACTTTTCTTTCTTTCTTCTTTTCCTTCCTCCCTCCTTCCCTTCTTCCTTCCTTCCTTCCTTCCTTCCTTCCTTCCTTTTCTTCTTTCCTTTTATCCTTCCTTTCCCCCTTCCTCCTTCCCTCCCTCCCTCCTTCCTTCCCTCCCTCCTTCCTTCCTTCTTTTCTTTCTTTCCTTCTCTCAGAGGCTCAGTATTGTGGACCTCCTGTCTCAGCCTCCAAGTTGCTGGGATTACAGGAGCATACCGCTGTGCCAGATTTCAGGTCAGACCAGGACTCAACCCTGGGCCTCCGTGTGACCCCAGCCTGCGGCACAGTGTCTTAGGAGCTTGAGCAACCACGGCTGGCCCTGGCACGTCTTCTGTCCCCACCACTGCGGCCTGCTTCATTGTACCCTCTGTACCTGAAGCAGCCTCTTTGGTCCCAGAAACTGAAGATGGGATGCTGGAGACTCTGCTCACTGGGTTAGTCATGGTTCCTTGTTGAATGACTTCCTCTCTTTTTCTGCCATGTGGTTAAATTTCTGTCTAAAAGGTATTTAGTATGTTCATAGAATCAGCCTAGGAAGGGCCATGGCTGACAGGGATTCGTCCTGGCAGCCCCCACATACTCGTTGCCTCTGCATCACACTAAATTGTTGCCCAATAGCTTCCTAATTTCTCAGGAGACGGGGACGGTATTACCTTATGGAGTAGCTTATTGTGTAGTTTCAGTCCGCTCTCTCCGGTAGAAAGTCCTTCCCTCTGCGTTGACCCAGAATCTAAGCTCTCCGACCTTGCCCACAATGCTCATGTAGGCAACCTCTGACCTTGCGGCGCTGAGTTAAAAGGGGTGGGGAGGCAGCAGATGGCATAGCGGTTGTCACAGACTCCGCATGGCCCGCTGCAGTTTGAGTCCCAGACCTGGTGGCTTGAAAATCACACCAGGTATGTGTGTGTGCATGTCCAAGATACTGGGAGGAGAATGGAGGACAAGGGATTGCGGTGTGGTCATCCCCTGGGGGGTGACTTCTCACTTTCCCTCTCACTGTCCCTCTCTCTCCCATAAGTGCACTCACTTTATGGAAAAACCTCTACAAAAAGTTGGGCAGCAGGTGGCATGGTTGTTAAGGCACTGGACTCCCACATGGCCAACCATGGTGTGAGTCCCAGACCTGTCAGATTGCTTTCTCACTTGCTGTCTCTCTGGTTAAATTAAAAAATTATAATAATAGTAATAGGGACCAGTAGGTGGTGGAATGGTTACGTCACTGGACTCCCACATTGTCCACTGCAGTTTAAGTCCTGGGCCTGATGACTTGAAACTCAACGTCAGGCGCGTGTGCGTGCATGCCCAAAACCCTGAGAGGAGACTGGAGAAGAAGGGATTGTGGCATGACTATCCACCTGGGGGGTGATTTCTCTCTTCCTGCCTCTCTGTCCCTGGCAAGTGCACATGCCGTATAGCAAAAAAACTCTCAAAGATAAATAAATAAAATTAAAATATATAATTCTTTTTTTAAAAAAAATTATTTTATTTAACCTTATTTATCTACTTACCTATCTATCTATCCATCCATCCATCCAGAGAGGGAGGAAGGGAGAGAGAGAAAAAAAATGAGAAAGCAAGCCTCTAAGTCCAGAAATTG